AGGGGAGGAAAGAGACAAAAGGAAACACAACAAATGGGCGTCTGTCAGACACTGCACGCATTGTATCCCCTCACTATATAATTATTAATTTATTACTATAATAATTATTCATTTTCTTCTAAATTAATATATCATTATAGTTATTAATTTTGTCACTACTATAGTTTATCATAAAATATCACATCACAATAATTCAATAATTATTGTTATTATTGCTGACAGAAACTTCTTCAAAAGTTCTGAACTGCTTATCATTATATGATCTTATTTTATTTTATTTTATTTCCTTTGTGTTCATTGTCATGGTATAGCATTTAAAAGCAAATGAATACAAATCTTCATTCAAAAAAATTGCATACATACATAATGCAAAACCACTTTTTTTTTTCTTTTCTCCGGACATTTGAGCACACACTCTAGCTGAAGCTTGGACCTCGAAATGAATGGACGGACATGTTGAAAAATGGCAGAGGACAAAGTTGCGAAAAAAAAAAAAGAGGACATTTTTGGGGACATTTTTGCAACTTTGTCCTTTTTGGGGGAAGTTTGAACACTCGTTCGAGCGGACAAAGTTGCAAAAATGTCCCCAAACAAGAACTTGGGACCTCAAAACGAGCGGACATTTCCAAAAATGTCACGAAAAATCACATTTGATGCGTACGTTTGTAAAATCATGGGCTCTGCCTGTCAAATTATTTTCTCTCTCCATCTGGAGTTTGTGTTCTGAGACATAAATTAAATAATATAATAAGTTAACATAAAACTAAATGTCAGATAAAAACAGAAGATTAAAAAAAGATGATAAAAAGTAACCAACAAAAAAATGCTCGCTAAGTCGTCTTCTAACCTCAATAATATAGATAAGAAAGAATGTACAAAAAAAAGAAAAGAAAAGGAAAAACGTAATACAAGATAACTGAAGAAAACAATTGCTCGCTGAGACCTCTTCTCACCTAAATAATAAAAATAAAGAATTAAGTTCAATTAACCAAAAAAAAAAAGAACAACGAAATATAACCCTATTAACCAACAAAAAATGGTCTCGATGACCGACAAGATGTACTCACCATTGAGCAGATCATCCATGACGGCCAAGATGTACTCGATGGTCTCCTCCTTCGACATTCTCAGCAACATTGTCACGAAAGTTCGGATATAAGCCGGTCCATCCTGTAAAAAAAAAAAAAAAAAAAAAAAAAGAGGGAAAATTAAATTAAAAAAAAAAGAAGGCAGCTCGGCAAAAACATCAGAAAGCTAGTCAACCAGAGAGGCCCGGGACCACTTGCCCAAAATAAAACTAGGCTACCAGCCGGGAAGCCCGGGTCACCCTATTTTCCCGGGCGGCCCGGCCGGGCAAGGACCAGGGAAGGTCCCGGCAAATATATCATCACATAGATATCAGAGCGCAAAAGCGAAAAAAACAAACAGTATTGTCACACTGTAAATCAGAGCGCGAAGGAAAGGAAAAGAAGGAAGGAAGGAAAGCCCCACCTGTTCATCACCTCTTACGTACAAGGCCAGCCACGTGGATGACAGGTTGAGCGCTGGCTGCCCCCATCCCGGTGTGTCACATGGACCCACTTGCACGCAGCCAAAAGGCAAAAAAGAGGTAAAGAAAAGGAGGAAACCAAACCTGACAGGGAAAGAAAGATAATCCAATTGTAAATATATGTGACGATATCATGTCGTATATTTTTACCCTGAGGCAAAAGTTGTTCAGTTTATTTTTCTGCATAACATAGCTTTTTTTCAGATTTTTTGGATTTGTTTTCCTTTTCTTTTAGCTCGGACTTTTTTGGTCCTTGCACGGCCGGGCTGCCCGGCGATAAAAAAGGTGCCTCGGACGGCCCGGCTGGTAGCCTAGACAGAAAGTTAAAAAAAAAAATAAAAAAAATCCGGAGAATTCTCTCGGAAGATCCGGAGAACTTTTTTCCAACCCCTCCCCTCCCCTCCCCTCCCCTCTCCGCTTGAGAAGGCCCCTCAAGCGGTATTTCCTCCCAAAAAAAGAAAAGTGAAAAAAAAGACGAAGAAGAAAACCTGATTGTCCGCGCAACCTCTCCCCTCCCC